TATATACATACATATATACATACAAAAATACGTATTATATAAGACAAATTGTTATTTTTGGAAAGAAAAATAATATGTTATTAATTCATAAAGGAAAATAAACGAAATAATATTTACACATAATAAGATTTTTCATACGTTCGCGTATAGACAATTCTAGTTAAGAAAAAAATGAGAGAGAGAAACGAAAAATAAATAAATAAATAAAGAAATAAAGAAATAAAAGAAAAGTCGTGTAAAAAGAGAATCAAATGTATTTTCTAATTCGCATTAAAACAAAATCATGTAAAACAAAGTTTGTGTAAAAATAAAATTGGATATAATTAATACCTACTACATACACACACACATACACACACAATATGTATAATGTAATCTAAAAATATTGTATCCAAGATCTTGGAATTACTCGGTTCTAAGCAGGAAATCTAATAGAATTCTAGAGAGCTTCCTCCTTTCTCTCTATCTTTCTCTTTCTCTCTCCCTCTCTTTCTCTCTCTTTCCTTTCGTATTCTATTTCGCGTAACTTTCGGACTAAAGTGTGCACACGAGTGGGGATCGACGATCGAAAGGGAACTTGTTTTCGATGCCTCTTATCTCCCTTAGTCTTACTACCATGTTAGATTATCACACGGCTTGTCTACTTTTTTAGGGGGTTGAAAAGGGCTCCAACCCTTTGCGACTTGATTTTCTTTCTTCTTCCTTCTTTTTCTTTTTTTCTTTTGTTTTTCCTTTTATTCTTTTTTCTAACTCCCCTTACGTTATTTTTTGATACACGAACAAATAATAATAATAATAATAATAATAATAATAATAATAATAATAATAATAATAATAATAATAATAATATAATATGTTATTGGTATTAACAATAGTCTTCTTTTGTTAAAATATATATATATATATGTATATGTATGTAATGTTTCAATATATTATTTTATCCACATGAAAAGATACAAATTGATATTAATTATGGAATTGACAATAATCGAATATAAAGAAAAATATATAATTTCGTATAAATAACGTATAACGCAATAATTTAATTTTATATTCGATATCTTTAATCAATGACCCGTTATAATATCGATTAGATTATTCGTGCGAAGAATATTCAAATCGATATTTCCGATTAATTAACGGAACTAACAGAATCGTTTCGGAATATTTTTAATAACGATATATAATATCGTATGAGTGATTAATAATTCAACGATAAAATCTAATTATATCTTTCAAATTCTTTAATCTATTACATTAAAATGTCATTGATTATTCACTAGGATAATTCAAAATTGATATTATCGAATAATATAAAATTGACAATAGTCATTTTTGTTAATAAAAATCAACGATCGTTTGACTATATCTTTCATGTTTTTGTTCAATTATATTAAATCGTTGTTGATTATGCATCAAAAAAAGAGTTATAATCGATATTGTCGACGAATAATATAATATTAACAATCGATTAATAACGATTTATTTATTATATTTTTTATTTATAATATTTTCATATATCTATTTACAATATATTCATATTTCTCTCTAATTTTAGATTTTTCAATGAAAAAAATAAACGTATTTTAATTCAATTGATTATTTAAATAAAAATATTAAAATTTATTTATAAGAACAAAATAAAATCTTTTTTGATCGTTCTAAAATAATATTAAATTCCGATATATTTGGAATGCAAGAAGTAGCAATTATCAGTGGCAGCCGGTGTAGGGCACGATTTCCGATGATATCTCAGGTTCGAACGTGCAGGATGCTGTAGTAGTCCACGTTGGTCGAGTTCTCTCTTCAAAGGGAACCGTAAAACCGGTTCGATAGCTATACACATAAAACTCCCTACGTACGTACAGATACAAATACAAAAAACACACACATATATACAGTCAGCTTGTAAAACACAGGCTTCAAGTTGACCTGGCAGAAAAGGGGTAGCTGATAGAGATGGATGGCGAGATCGAGAGGAGGATAGGACGTAGAAAAGATTTTAAAAAGAGAGATAGAGATAGATAGAGAGAGAGAGAGAGAGAGAGAGAGAGAGAGAAAGAGAAAGAAAGAGAGAGAATATATTACGTAGTAGCATCGAGGCTATGTAATATCCAAAAGACATATCAACCCTTAGCCCTTAACGTCTTACCCCAACTCCTCCCCTTTCTAAACGTTTTAGTATCGGTGGTCCATAGTTACCTCTTTTTTCAGTCCCCCTTTTTCTCCCTTCCACCAACTCCACTTGGCTATTCATCCTGGTCCGGTGGTCCTAATTACACGTCTCGGGTTACGGATGAGAACTACGGTCTTGAAGTTTGGAGAGACGTCTTCTGCCGTGAAAAGGGGTATACACTCTCTCTCTTCTCTCTCTCTCTCTCTCTCTCTCTCTCTCTCTCTCTCTCTCTCTCTCGTTACGTGTCGTTATCCTCCTCCTCTACTTCCTCCTCTAGCTCCTCCTTTTATTTTTTTTCTTTTCTTTTATTATTATACAGTGGTTAACACCAAAGCATTGCCTTTTGTCCAAGAGCCAACATGCTTGGCTATTTTATACACCGAATGTTATTCATACATACATACATGGAGTTACTTATGGGTTCCCTTTATCTTTTCTGAGTTTCTCTCAGTCACAATCTGTGAGAGCGTTTTTGAAACCTTCGGGTCTTGCATGTTCTTCTCAGTGTCAAGAAAAGCTGATGGTGATGGTGGTGATGGTAGTGGTGGTAGTGGTGGTAGTGGTGGTAGTGGTGGTGGTGGTAGTGGTGGTGTAGGAAAGAGACGAGAAAAATTGTATTAGCCCTTTGATCCCTCTACTGCTGGTGATGCTGTTGGTGGTGGTGGTGGTGGTGCTGTTGCTGCTGCTACTGCTGCTGATGCTGATGGTAGAACGACTCGAAAGAAAGCGAATAAAGGACCGGCTCCTGCATAATACGGCTATTTACGCATAAAGAA